ATACACATATCATAAATAAGTCTTCACACATAGTAAATTTTTTTTAATTAAGGCTAAAAACTCCAGATTATAGCAACATAAACTTGGGAGCTGTGTGAGGTGGAGGGAGGAAGGGAGAAAAAAAATATGAAGAAGTAGAAATCCCGATATTCTTAACTTACAAAGATATTATTTAGTCTCTATGTGAGTAGTTGGAAAAATATAGGATGACTGCATGTGTTATTAATATTTTAAAACAAAATGTAGGCCTTCCAAAGTACTAGGGGAAAAAAATTAAGGAACATTCAGTCGATATAACAAAAAAGGGGGTGTGTGTGAAATTAAAACCACACACACAGAATAAGAAGAAAGAATCATTAAACCAAACCAAAATATTTATTTTTCATGATATGAAATATAACATGCAACAAAGCCATAATATGAAAGATTTTGCACTGAAAATAAAGCATTGGACTATATGAAGCCCTCAGAAATACAAGGAGATATGGACAGAAAAATAGTAGTAGTGAGAGACTTTAATAAGCCTCCTTCAGACCTCGACAAATAAATAGAACACAAAAATATAGAGGACCTGAAGATAATGTATAAGTCTGACTTAATGGCTATGTAATGGAATGCTAAATAAAATATTTCCTATGTCACACACATAGTGACTGCCCCTTGCCCTGGGAAACTTGAAGGCTTGGATAAGTGTTTCTTGTGAGCCAAATTCTTCACCACAATATTATTACAAAAAGAAAAAAAAAACAAGAAAAAAGCAGACTGGTGAAATAAATCATGGTATAATCATATGATGGATATTACTGAGTCAGTGAAAATGTTGTAAAATCCTCAGCCTGAGAAAATGCTCATGATATATTTCTAAGTGAAACAGTATATAGCAAAACATTCTGCTCATTGTATCCATTTTGGGGAAAATGAAAAAGTACAAGTGCCTGGGTGTGTAACTGAGTAGCCAAGGATAAGAATGAATACCCCAGGGGTAGCCGGTTAGCTCATTTGGGTAGAGCATGGTGCTAATAACACCAAGATTGCGGGTTTAATCCCCATATGGGCCACTGTGAGCTGGGCCCTCCTTAAAATAAATAAATAAATAAATATTCCAGACTTTGGAAATACGCCAGCATTGAGCTCCTTTGTGATCATCTGACCAAAGTCAAGGTGGTAAATCACACCCAGTGATAAAGGTGGGGCTTCTGGGAAATGAGAACATGTTCCCACCATTAGTTACCCTGAGAAGAAGTCAGTCCTGGAGTACCAAGGAGTGGGGAGGTCGGGAGAGCTTTCAGCGCTGCCCAGGCCCAAAGGGCAGGAGACCCAAATTTAAGTGTGAAGAAGTTCAGAACAGTTTTTATGGAAGAGCATGAACATCTATTACTTTTAATTATAAATTTTAATTTATATATTCAATTTTAAATTTCCTCTCTCTATCCTTCCCTTTTATTCACAATTTATTCACAATTTACATGGATCAAATTAATAAGTGAGAAATAACTTAATGTTATGTATTTTAAATAATGCCTCTGAGTCTTTCCAAATTTGGGAGATATACAGTTATCAGCCTTTTCAGTTCAATTTGAATAACTGGCAACCAAAAGTTTTTAATATACATTTAAACTGATTCGTAATGAAGGAAAGCTGTGAATGTAAATTCGTAACAATAATGGGCAAAAAAATATTGCAAACTTACTACTACAAAGCACTTAATTTTCTAAGGGTTTAAATGTATTGCTTATTTAATCCTCGTAATAATCTTCTGTGCTAAGAAAATAAGGTACAGAGAGTTAAGTAACTTGCACAGGGGCACACAATTGTTAGGTTGTTGGAAAAATCATGACGTATTTGTTCTGTTTTTCATTGCAAAAATGCGTCATGACTTTTCCAACAACCCAATATTTAATGCTTCTTCATTCCTCAGGAATACGGCCTCAACAACAACCAAGCACATGATTCAATGTGAATTGTAACTCATTTGAACCTCTCAAGGGCCTGGACAGGCATCCTATGAGCATGCCAGGTCAGTGCCAAGTTCAAGATATCCAAAACAAGGCTGTATAAGTGGAAAGAACTAATTAGACTCAAGGCAGTCAAGGGTGTTTTTGAGCCAAAGCACAGGTGGTTGTTTGGCTGTGCTCAGGCTGTTGAGTGAGCATGTCTAGAGAAAAAGAAAAAAACAAAAAAACGCACAGCTAGCACTGCTCTGGCCCTCAGCACCTTTCTTCAGGCAAATCAGAGCTGATCTTTACCCACCGTGAAGGCCCTGATTCGTTCTAAGAAGCCTTTGATTCTCATAGCCAATCCTCCAGCCTGGTTAGCATCTATAAGAATCTCCTGGGAAGCTGTTAAAAATTTTGGAAGCCACCCTCAGAAATCCACTGGTCTGCCTTAGGGTCCATGAATCTTCATTTTAAATGATGTTCCCAGGCAGTGAGAGCACCATGCTTTGAGAAAACTGCCCCTATGCACTTTCTAGGTGTCAAGTATAGAAGCTGTGCATGGTACCATTGGGAGGTAAGTGCTTCCGCCCTGAAAATTTGGAGTTTCCTGGCCAGCTTACCTTGGTGGCTTACTGGGGTATACGGCGGGGTTCAAGGTCTTAGTGAACCTGGCATAGCGAGCAAGGAAAGCTACACGACAGGATGGCCGTGTGTGGAGGGAGGCAGCCGGAGTAGGAGGCCATGGGATTGTCATGTATCTCAGTGTCATATATCAAAAGAGATCCCAAACTTACAACTGCATTTGAATCTACTACTATATCATAATACAAAGTTTTTTTTAAAAATTCCTAACAGAAGTTATCCGAACGCTAGCATGGGCAGATGCTACACGTGTGCATAGGGAAGGGGTGCTAGGGACCCGGTGTTAATGTCAACTCCTGGGCTCAGGTTTTTGTATGAATTTGGAGGAAGAGAGGAATAGTTAGCTGTCAGGATGTGGATGCAGAAGATGAGAGAAGATAGGATGTGTTAACACTGTAGTTGCTATGGGAAAGGGTACAGTAAATTGATGTGAATAAACACTGGTCCAGGGGACATAGATTGGTCATGTTGTCAGTAGGCTCTTTAATGGTGGATCTGTCTGACCGTCAATCTCTAGATCAATGGTAAACAATGGCCAGTAGTTATGAACGTAAAATATTTTGGATAGCATCCTTGGAAAATGGGTCACAGACTGGGGGCTCAGTCAGGGCCCAGGTGTCTTGACAGTCCACGGAGGTAGCAGCAGCAGATCTCACTGTTGGACAGGATAGCAGCAGCTAGAGTGAACTAGGAGAATAGTACCAGGTAGGGATGAAAGAACAAGCCATTTTGGTGACAGGAAAGAGACTTGCTCTGAGAGGAGAGTCGACTGGACGTTAATCTAGTGTAAAGGTTTCTAGAGACATTCTGCAATCAAAAGCAGGGGGTAGTAGTTCATTGGGTCACCAGGCCTGTCCTTGACCTGAACACAGGCGCTACAGTGGGGAGAATACTGAAGGGTGTCACTCAAAGCTTTGCACAGGTCTGAAGCTAGTGGGATTGCATACATTTCTCTGCTATGCCAGGTTCACTGAGACTCTGATCCCCACCATGCACCCCAGTAAGCCACCAAGGTAAGCTGTTTGCCTTGATAAGCTCTCCCAGCATTTGCACTATCACCTGGCCTTGAATCTCAGAGATTCTAACTCATCACATGTAGGTAAATGCCTGCACAGTAGCATCTGTGTAGTATCTGCCTGTTTCCCTGACAGATGTAGCCAGGGACACAAAGTTGTTTGGTGTAAGACTCTCCAAAAGTAGGGCTGCCTCCACTGCTCCCTGGCCTTCTACATCAGGGAGGGAATGGACACCTGATAGGTAGTTTGGGCAGCTTAGTATGGCAGAGTTCAATACTAAGAAAGAGAGACACCTTCCCTTGTGTGTCATGAATTTGTGAGTCTCACTCACTCAGATTGCAGTAGTCTATGCACTTCGGTCCTAGATGCCAGGTCCACTCAAGGCTGTGCTTCTAGATACTGACAGCAGCTTTGACTGCAGCCACCCCCATACTGGGTGACTGCCCTCAGCTGTAGGAAACTTCTAGGATTATGTGACTCCAGGAACTACAAGCCTACCTAGGGCCCAAGTGGGAAAGGATAAGCCCCACAGCAGTGAATTAAGCCTTCATGAAATGATATTGAATGGATAAAGTAGTGATTAAATCTCTCTATGAGCTACTCCAAGTGTGAGTGTGTGTGGGGTGGGGGGACATTTCTTAAAATAACTCATCTTCAGACTCTGAAAGAATTATCCCTTGTTTTGAATTAAATCAAACTTCATTAAACTTTCAGTCTTTTGTCCTACAAATATCTCTTGGGGCCATATCAATTCTATATATTCTTTCACATAAAGACAGCGATCACGTTCCGGAGCCTTCTTTCTTCAGTTCCTTTCATGGGCTCTCATCTGGTGGCTCACCTCGGAGCATGCTCCAATACATCTATGTGCCACTTAACAGTGTGGTACAAAGAATGCAGTACTCCAGGTGTAGTCTGATGGGTACCAAGTATGAGATACCACTCCCTTGTTATGGATTGTGTACTTGGTTAGCTGTCATTGTTAAAAATCTCACCTGCCCTTCCACTGTTCTCTCACCTGTAGTTGTGCAGCAGTTTGTGGAGCCCAGTAAAATTTTAACATTTAGAACGCAATGCCGGACTTAGGGTCTAACTCATTATAATAATTATTGTTATTAACTTCATCTTATTAGCTATGACCATTATGACCATTACAAAATGAAATTACCACTTAACACAAGATGTTAGCTGAGGACCCACCTCCTTCAGCCTCAGAAATGTAAACACTACCTTACGTTGCATCTGCTTTTGGATTTTTAGATCACAGTATCTTATCCCGCCCCTTTCGGCCCGGCGACCTCTAGTTAAGCCCCGCCCCAACAATGGCGTCTCTCCCTGGCCCCGCCCCCGAGGACTCTCCTCCCCTGCGCTTTGCGTCCCGCCCACTCCTAGCCCAGAGGAGGGAAGCACTGGATGTGGCTGCTGATTGGGTGGCTGGGACGCAGCTTGATGGCGTCGACCTGGCGAGCAGAGGTCTGGGTGGCGGCCCCCGGGCGAAGGCCACCAATGTGAGGGGGCTGGCGTCCCTGGCGTGCTGTGGTCTTCGGGGAGTGGAAAATGGAGGCGCGAGCTCTCTCTACATTTCACCATGAGTTTCCTGATAGACTCCAGCATCATGATTACCTCCCAGGTGAGCCACTGCCTCTCGCCGCGGGACCCCTCGGGTCCCTTTCCCACATCGTCTCGGAGCCTCAGCGATGCGGCTGGCCCGGCTTTCGCTCGCAGCCTGCGGCCCGCACCCGCCTCATCCGTGCCCGGGCTCCGGGAGGGTGTGGGATTTGCTTAGCCCGATTTCCTCCGCCTTCGTCTGGAGGCGTTCTGCGGCCGTCGGCACCCCCACCCAGCCTCCATCTTCCCACCCACCCCCCACCCTCCGCTTTCCCGTCCACTCTTGGAAGGGATCTGGCGGCCTCAGCGCTCAGAGCCGGTGCCGCGAGGAGGGAGCGGCCCCCAAAGCGTCTGGGGCGTGGGACTGAGCTGCTGACCCAGGGTTTGGGGCAGAGTGTGGTTCCGGGCGCGGAGTGCGCCTCAGGCCAATCAGGGCTGGCTCCTGGGGACACGTGGGGACTTTCCTGGTTGTCAAATCCTGAATCCGGATGCGGAGGAATTTGCCGCCGTCACTTAGATCTTTTAAAGTGTTAAGGTTTCGATTGTGCACTGACACCGCATTGTTTGTCCTCTGTTTGCTGCCCCTGCGTTTCGGGTCTTTTTCTCACCCTCCTTCCTTCCCAGTTGGCCACGTTCATTCATTGGTACAGTCAACGAACTGTAATCGATCGTTATATAAAGCTCTGAGGATACAAACATAAATAAGACACTGACCGTCCCTGCTCTGTAGAAGCTGCGGCTGGTGAGCCCCTTGCTTTTACCGTGTCATTCGTTCAGTTACTCTGTTTTCTTTTCTTCGTAGCATTTATCACAGCACTGATACCATTTATGTTTGTGAATTTATTTTTTGAAATGCTGAGATGTTCATAGCCGTATCCCGCCTCCAAGAGCAAACATTCAATAAGTATATGTTGGCCACCTGTTAATATTTGTAGAAGCTCAGATTATCTAATTATTTTCCCCCTCTCATTTTTCCAGTAATTTAAAGTATTTTTTTCCGATTTTTTTTTCAAGTGGCAAACGACAGAAACAGTTCATTTGGGGGATTTAAAGTGAATTAGATATTTGTTTTTGTGATGCAGTTTTCATATTGCTTCATCCTAATGCTTCTGTCTTTAAAGGAGAACTTCGCCCTTGTCTCTTAAAAAACTTTTATTGCAACATTTTAGAAAGTATGAAACAAGGAACACCCTAGTACAATAACTTCCATTTTTAAATTTACCATCCTTTCAATAATTTTCATAATTATTGTTTTTATCGTCTGCATAATGTTTAAATGTATTGATGTACAAAAATCTGGGCATGTAATTTTCTTTTCAAATTTTTCTGAGACTTCCTGTTAGCCCTGGTGACAACTCAGGGTTATGTTTAGCCCTAGTATCAACTCAAGAAAAATGACAGTATTTAAGTAGCATTTTTTTTTCACTCAGAATCAAAATAAGAATGTCAGTGAGGAAATTGGCATTGAATTGTAGCCTCTAAGATTTATTTTTTAAAGATTTTTATTGGGGAATTGGGGGATGGGAACAGCGCTGGGGAATTGGGGGAAGGGGAACAGACAAGTTGCTGTCGTTTTGTTCT